GGCACCACAACAAACTTGCAAAGTGGCGCCCTTCCCCGTAGGTTCTGCTTCATTTGCTGGATTAAAGAAGAGTATTGCATGGATGGTGTCATTATATGCCTCAATCACTCGATGTCAACTATTCCCATAATGTTTAGTGATGCAAAACACACTTTAAAATTTGTGTGACGGGCGTTAACTCCTACTGGAAACTTTTCTGCTCCACCAGGCAATTAAGAATGCATCCCCCGCAATGGTCTATTGATGTTTGTGAGCCATTTCACAGGGGCTCCCTGTCAGTCCTAACAATTGGCACCTTGCTTTCAGTTGCCAGTTTTTCCTTTTGTAGCTCCATCTGTACCTGCCCTGCACCTGATGTCCCACATGACATCAGGTGCAAGGCAGGTGCGCATGTTTTTTGGGAAGCAGCCAAACTAGGCTGGAGTCTCCTCACCACTGTCTTGCACAATGATATTCCACCTGATAATTTGGTACACAAAGAGCCAGGCTAAATCACAAGAAAAGCCGAGGCAATTTATTTGATATGACAGGTAGCATCATCTTAAAGAGGTTTCACATTGAAAGTGATTTTTTTTTTAGAAAAAAGAAAAAAACCTAAATATTATTGATGAGGAGAGTTTTACTGCTAATGAATCTCCCCCCACATTTCCTCTCCCACATGGTAATGTGACATTTGAAAGTGTGTTTTCCTTCTTGCATGATGGCATTAATTTTTCAAGAAGGTTCTGAATCTTCAAGACAGTTTGCATACGATGTGTTGCAAAATGGCACAGAGATAAATCAGTAGTTTGGATGAAAGCACAAAGGATTAAATTGCCTTAAGATTAGTCACACACACACACACCCTGACTTGAATCTTGAGTTTGAGCACCTGCACGATTTGAGGAAAAAGCACAATTCCCCAGCTGTGCTGCAGAATATAGGAAGTTGTCCATCCATCCAGCATGACCTACACTGATTAGTATCACTTCTGCAAGGTACAGTGGTACCTTGGTTCTCAAACTTAATCCGTTCCGGAAGTCCATTCCAAAACCAAAGCGTTCCAAAACCAAGGCACGCTTTCTCATAGAAAGTAATGCAAAATGGATTAATCCATTCCAGACTTTTAAAAACAACCCCTAAAACAGCAATTTAACATGAATTTTACTATCTAATGACCATTGATCCATAAAATGAAAGCAATAATCAATGTACTGTACTATAAAATAAGTAAGAGACAGTATTGTAGATAAAAATTAAAATTATTATTTTTTCTTACCTGCACTGATGATAGTCATTGTTTGGATCGGGGGCTTTTATCCATTTCCGCAGCCATACAATCAATCAATCAATCAATCAGTAGCGGAACTGGGTTCTACACAGTCGCAAAAACAAACTACAGTGGACGCTCGGGTTGCGAACGTGATCCGTGTGGGAGGCACGTTCACAACCCGCAGCGTTCGCAGATGCGCTGGTCACGATTCGGCACTTCTGCACATGCGCAAAGTGCAATTTAGCACTTCTGCACATGTGCAAGCGCCGAAACCCAGAAGTAACCCGTTCCGGTACTTCCGGCTTCGGCAGGGTGCGCAACCCAAAATCGCACAACCCGAAGCGTCTATAACCCGATGTAGGACTGTAACAGAAAAAGCCTCTAAAACAAAAACACAAAATAAATAGCTAAAACAAAAGCGCCAAACTTAATCCGTTCCGGAAGTCCGTTTGACTTCCAAAATGTTCAAAAACTATGGCACAGTTTCTGATTGTGCAGGTGCCCAGGAAACAATGGTCAACAGCCACATCAGACGTTTGGCTTCTGAAAAACGTTCGAAAACCAGAGCACTTACTTCCGGGTTTTCAGCTTTGGGGAACCAGGGCATTTGAGAACCAAGGCATTTGAGAACCAAGGTACCACTGTATTAGGCAGGGGACATTTGCAGTAATACCCGGAAATGCCAGGGATTCAACCTGAACTTCCTGCACGCAAAGCAGGCTCTCTACCTCTGAGCTATAGGCCTTGCCCTCTGACAGATCCTCACCCAATATACTCTTACAAAAGTTGGGTGTCACCCCAACTCTCTGGCAAGCGGTAGTAACATCCCATATGGTTCCAGGCACTCATATTGAGTCTGTGTTCCTTTGGAGAATAGAGACACGGCAGAGACTGTCATAGGTTTATGAAATATGGTTTGTTCACCTTTTTATACCTTCAGTCTGCATGGAGGGAGTCCAGATCTGACAGCATGGTCATTTCAAGAGGGGCTTGTGCCCCACAGCAGTGCAGCTCTCCCAGCCAGCCTTCAGCCAGCCTGCCCAAGATGGATCCCGGTCTTTCTTTCTCCTTCCTCCTTCCCAGAACAAAAACTCTCTTTCCCTGTCACTTCAAACACACACCTTGGCAACATCTATCTCCCCAGGCCAAAGGATTCCTCTCCGATGGCCCGATCATGGCTTTTTGTCATGTTAACAGATTTGCTCATTGCTAAGCCAGCCAGGCTGCTTTGCATTAGGCAGCCCAGGGATTCCTTATCTGGCACAGTTCTGAAGCTTGTACTTTCATCCATATCCCATTTAATCAAAATCCTACCATTTATTATGGGACGCGGGTGGCGCTGTGGGTTAAACCACAGAGCCTAGGGCTTGCCGATCAGAAGGTCGGTGGTTTTAATCCCTGCGACGGGGTGAGCTCCCATTGCTCGGTCCCTGCTCCTGCCAACCTAGCAGTTTGAAAGCACGTCAAAGTGCAAGTAGATAAATAGATACCGCTCCGGCAGGAAGGTAAACGGCGTTTCCATGCGCTGCTCTGGTTCGCCAGAAGCAGCCTAGTCATGCTGGTCACATGACCCGGAAGCTGTACGCCGGCTCCCTCGGCCAATAAAGCGAGATGAGCGCCGCAACCCCAGAGTCGGCCACGACTGGACCTAATGGTCAGGGGTCCCTTTACCTTTACCTTTTTGCCATTTATTAATTTCTAGGATTTAGGGGTCCCCCTGCCCCAATCTTTAACAATTTATATACACCTATCCTGGCAACAAAGGACATGTGAAGTCAAGGCAGCCCTAAGGAGCAGAAATACAAGGAAGGTCATCAACCATGATGAATGTTGCTGTGACGAGAAATGGAGCAATTGCATCAGTCCCTGCGCAGGCCTGTGTCATGATTTGGGAGGAACCGGGAAGCATGACATTGCAGCGTTTCTCATCCTTCCCAACAGCAGTTGCCACACAGTTTCTGAGGTGTGCTAGTTGCTTTCATTCTCCTATCCCAACTGGCGAAATGAATTCTGGCATACACAAGGAATCCAGACGAGAAGGCCCAAAGGACTTCTTTTGTAGCTGTAACAGAAATAATAACCAATACAGTTATTATATTGTTATGTGTGTTTGGGCGGAAGCATTGGTTGTCATCCGTCTGTCTTTGGAGACAATGGAGGAGTGCGCTTTTTGGGGTGAAGGCAAACTCTTGGAAGGTTACAGCGCCTGCTGTGGCTGGAGAGGTCGATACAGGAGAGACATGTTCTGTTGCATCTGGGGCAGATGAAGGCATCCAGATGCGCTGCTGCAGATACACCAGGCATTGGGGTCCCCATACCCCAACCCAGATAAATAAAGAGACCAATAAGACTGGTTTGGGGTCAAAACAGGCCACAACTTGATTGAATACAGATGAAAGAGGTTTGGCTTGGGCGTGGGGCAATCTAAATATGTGTGGCCAATCCAAGCGGGGGTTCCTAAGACACACATCAAATAGGATGACCCCCTCAGGGACTGCTGCTTGCGGGAGCGCCTTCAGCCCCGGCCCCTGTGGACATGGCCACTCCCCCCCCCGATCCCTTTAATAGGATACCCCAGTGTTTGGAGGGGCAGGCGGAGACTAAAACATCCATCCAAGACAAAGGATTGCCCCGATGCCCAGCCACCAACCGAGCAATGCTCTCCACCAACCCACTCAAATCTGCACCTGTGCCTTAATGCTTTTGATCGTATCTGACAACCAAATGTCATTTCCCGATAAGGAAAGATGCATGCCATCCGGCAAGGGGCAAATCTGACGGAAGCCTCCCTGCCCCCTGGCAAAGCCCAAGTCCCAGCCTACATCCCCACTTGCCAAATCAGGATGCAGGCTAGGATCCTGATAGGTGGCAAGGGCTTCAGGAAGGGCACGTCAGTTCCAGTTCCCATGTCGGGGCTCCAGTGAAGCCTCTGCTGTCCCGCAACGCCGCCACACCAAGAGGGGTGAGCGGACTTCTCTCTGCACTCCCTCCCAGCAGTCATTCCTCCTTTGGCCACTGCTATGGACGCGGGTGGCGCTGTGGGTTAAACCACAGAGTCTAGGACTTGTCGATCAGAAGGTCGGCAGTTCGAATCCCCACAGCGGGGTGAGCTCCTATTGCTCGGTCCCTGCTCCTGCCAACCTAGCAGTTCAAAAGCACGTCAAAGTGCAATTATATAAATAGGTACCGCTCCGGTGGGAAGGTAAACGGCGTTTCCGTGCGCTGCTCTGGTTTGCCAGAAGCAGCTTAGTCATGCTGGCCACATGACCCAGAAGCTGTACGCCGGCTCCCTCGGCCAGTAAAGCGAGATGAGTGCCGCAACCCCAAAGCCGGTCACGACTTGACCTAATGGTCAGGGGTCCCTTTACCTTTACCTTTATGGATGCAGAACCTGACTGTCTGTCTGTCTCCAGGCACTGTGGTCATCTGCTAGGAAATTCTCTGGGTAGACATCTATAGGATTGTGTTGTCAGCCACTTGAGCAGAAGGCAGAATTTTAGAAAAAGTGTCCTGTCCCCTCTGTCCCTGTGCGAAAGACAAGCCGCAACACCAAAGCTCCCTCTTTTGTGCAATGTTAAGATGCATGTCCTTCTCTGGGACTCGCTAGGTTTTTAAAATGAGTATTCAAAGAGCAAAAATACTGTTTTAAAGTAAAGAGCCTTGTCTACTTTCTGGTAAATTTATTAGCTCTGTTACCAGACAAATCATGTTGGAAATAATGTCCATGGCACTGAAAGTCTTTCTGTCATGCATCTGTTGGAAAGCCAAATTTAGGACTTTATAAATAGCTCAAGATCACCCTGCTGAAGACACCAGAAGGCTTGGCTCGTTTCTCTGCATGTAAGCTGAATCTATAGTAGGGAATTTTCATCGACGGTAGGAAGAGGTATGGGCCTTCAGTTTTAAATGTTTAGAAGGAGTAGTTCTAAGTCCCAGCTGTGCACCTTTTAGACACACTCAAGTAATTGATAGCAACAGCTTGGCTTTTGTTTGGGGTGGGGGGTTTTTTGTGGGGAGGGGTACGTCTGAGAAATATTAAAGGCATTTTAAAGCATTAAAATTGTACTGACAATTAAATTAGAAAATATATTCCAGGGTTGCTTTAAGAATTATTATGTACTTCCATAATTTTATGTGCACATAATTTATAGAAAATGTCACATTTCTAATAAAAAAAACCTAATTTACTAGACTTATTAAAAATAAATCAGATTTTCTTCTAAATTTGGAAACATGAATGATTTGTTAACTAGCAGGAAAGAGAGTTGCTATATGGCATAATTGTTGTGCTAAGTATTTTTGATAAATGAAGGCATCAGGCTGAAGCAGATTGATTTGATTATAGGATATCAATCAGCACTTGTAAATACAAAATGCGTTCTGTGTTGTTGTTTTTAAAAGAACTCCCAATGAAATACTGATCACATTTTAAAGTTTTTCTTAGAAAGTTGTTCCTGCATGGGTTTACGTTTTCTTTTACTTTATTCGTTGATAGCGTGAGGCTGGGAAGTCGCTGGACTACAATTCCCATCATCCGTTGCAATTTGCCCTCCTGGCTGTGGCTGATGGGATTTGGAGTCCAACAACATCTGGAGGAACTACATGTTTCCTACGCCTGATTTAGAGGCCTAGTTGGACATTCTCTAGCCCTCAACTGGTCTAGGAGCAGATACAAGGCTGGTGGGTGAATCACTCACAACCCTTCCCCACCTCCCTATTGCCCCATTACACACATCCTAAACCTGCTGGTACCATATCAGTAAGAAAACAGGATGACATGGACATTTGCCCCTATTCAGGATGGCAGTTCTTATTTTTTGTTTTGTTTTGTTAGGATGCAGTCCCGTACCCACTTCCTGGCGAGTAAGCCCTAATTAACTCAGTGGCACTTCTGACTAGAGACCCACAGCTAAACGGAAAACAAGCGGACTCTATAAGTCCTTCCACCTCCCCTCTCCTAGACAAGCTTACAGTCGTACCTTGGTTCTCAAACGTAATCCTTTCCTGAAGTCCATTTGACTTCCGAAAACCAAGGCGCGGCTTCTGATTGGCTGCAGGACCTTCCTGGCGGACCTCAATAGTCTCCTTTCACAAGGGAAGGGCTCAATTCTGGCCCATGAATCAGCAGCAAGTAGAGATGGCATTGATGACAAGTCTTTATTGTTGACTTCTTTCTCCTACCTGCAGAATAGGTAAATTCTGTTTTCAATTAACTTGTTTAATATTTTTTTAAAGAGTGGGGGGAAGCTCTAAGGTAGCAGCTAGGGCCACGCGCCATCGCCATAAATTGTAGTGCTAAGTTAACTATGAAAAATATATCTACTTTACGGAGTCTACATATAGTAAATTGAACGCCAGTTTCACTAGCATTCCTACAGAGAAAAATACCTCTCTGCTGTGCCCATGATTTTATAGACTTGCTATAGAACGCAATAGTTTAGCAGCAGCATCATTTGGTTTCACTGTAAAATTAACGGAATAAATGCTTTTAATTCCAGAGAAAATGCCCAGTATATAAGTAAACCTGGATTTCCAGCTTCTGTTCCAAAAGGCACACATATCAAACATTTGCCGTATTTCAGATTACATTGTTGCTAAAGTAACCTGTCTTCCTTCTCTTCAGTATGTCAAACTTTGAGCAATTTGATATAGATTTTTACCAGTCAGATTACATCGCTGAAAACCAAGAGCAAGGTTATAGCAGGCCTGAACCCCCTGGAAATGAGTATGGAAGCAAACAGTAAGTGCTTGAAATAGAACAAATTTACTGATTTAATTTTAACATTGCATTTCAATTGCAATTAATAACACAATTTAATTGTTTCCCCCCTTTTGTTAAAAATGTGAAAATGTGTTCCAGCCTTGAGAATTTTATGAGGCGTATCAGTTGGCTGCACTTATAATAAAACAAAAAACATTAAAATGTATGCTTAGGGTACTTTACAGTCCCTTTACCTAAAAGAAGAAGAAGTAATAACACAGATTTAGAACAAGATCCCACCAATAGTTTTTCAATATTAATCCCCACGTTTCTTGAACACAGTTGTAGCAATGCATTTTTTTACTTTCCTTCTTTCTTTCTTTCTTTCTTTCTTTCTTTCTTTCTTTCTTTCTTCCTTCCTTCCTTCCTTCCTTCCTTCCTTCCTTCCTTCCGAGGCCAACAAGACACATTCTCCAATTTCCAAATGCTAAAGAAAGCGCATCTTTTTCATGGGCTGGCTTGCCTATGAGCCGTGGTGAGGTGGTTGTCTCAGGGCAGCAGGCTCACGGGCAATCGCCACTGCTAGGTGCTCGCTGCCTCCTCTTGCTCCTCCGCTGCTGCAGCCATGGTCCCTGACACACTGCTGGTGGTTGGGCCACACTGTGGGTCACGGCAAGGGGAGTGGAGGAGCAGCAGTGGAGGAACAAGAGGCAGAGAGTGCCCAGCAGACCAGAGCACTGGGTACCTGGCAGGGTTGAGTGGCGGCCACCCAGCCATGATGAGGAGCAGGAGGAACTGGCAGGGCACAGTGAGGAGGTGAGCACACAGAGGTTTTACTGAGGGCCTTCTGGTGGTTCCCTCCATGCGAGAAGTGAAGTTACAGGGAATCAGGCAGAGGGCCTTCTCGGTAGTGGCGCCCGCCTTGTGGAACACCCTCCCGTCAGATGTTGAGGAAATAAACAACTATCTGACTTTTAGAAGACATCTGAAGGCAGCTCTCTTTAGGGAAGCTTTTAATATTTGATGAATTATTGTATTTTAATATTTTGCTGGAAACCCAGCCAGATGGGTGGGGTATAAATAAATTAATCGCTTCTGTGCATGCCCAGATGCTGAAAATTGCAGGTGTGATTTTTGGTATCTGGGCATGCGCAGAAGCGATTTCTGGTGTTGCGCTGCGCTAGCCCGACCCACAGAGGATCTCCGCGGGAGTGATCCAGCCCATGCCTCCGCAGGAGTGATCTTGCCGACCCCTGCTTAGACCCAATTCATACTTCACTGTTTTGAGGAAGATGCCCTTTCACTCCAGTAGCAGTGCTTTTGACTCCCGTTCCCCATGTTGTCTTCCTTGTAGAGGTTGGGCAGTTGCCTCGCCACCGCCAGATGCATTTGCTTCTCCAGAAAGGGCTTCATCTTCTCAGCAGTACACAGGCCAGATTTTTCAACCGGCGTTCACTTCAGAGTTCCCGCCTAACAGCGCTTACCCTGACAGCTTTGATGAAGAACCGCCTTTGCTAGAAGGTACGGAATTAAAATGCTTAATTACACTTTCCCCATGTTCTGGCGGCTTATACGTGGAGCTGAATCCCTTAATACTCACCGCAAATTTCTGCGGTGTCAAGGAAGTGATTTCTTTTCCTTCCCTATAATACATCCTGTCTAAATGAAGTGGAACTCACCTGAGGCTGTAGGCCTGCCTGAATGTCACTATTCGGCTGCCCTCAGGTGTGATGGAAGATGCTATCCTGTTAGCAATGTTAAGAGGTAAGGGTAAAGGGACCCCTGACGGTTAGGTCCAGTCGCGAACGACTCTGGGGTTGCGGCGCTCATCTCTCTTTATTGGCTGAGGGAGCCAGCGTACAGCTTCTGGGTCATGTGGCCAGCATGACTAAGCCGCTTCTGGCGAAGGAGAGCAGCGCACGGAAATGCCGTTTACCTTCCCGCCAGAGTGGTACCTATTTATCTAGTTGCACTTTGACGTGCTATCGAACTGCTAGGTTGGCAGGGGCAGGGACCGAGCAATGGGAGCTCACCCCGTTGCGGGGATTTAAACCGCCGACCTTCTGATCGGCAAAGTCCTAGGCTCTGTGGTTAAAGCACAGTTCAAATGGCAGTTTCTTTGACTTGTGCATGTGGATCGGTGAGGAGGGAGCATCTTGTCTTTCACCTCCAGCAGTTGAAAATGTTTTTGGCCAGCTCTGACCCTCTACACTGGGGTCAGCAAACTTTTTCAGCAGGGGGCCGGTCCACTGTCCCTCAGACCTTGTGGAGGGCCAGACTATATTTTTTTGGGGGGGGGGTGAACAAATTCCTGTGCCCCACAAATAACCCAGAGATGCATTTTAAACAAAAGCACACATTCTACTCATGTAAAAAACATGCTGATTCCCAGACCGTCCGCGGGCTGGATTTAGAAGGCAATTGGGCCGGATCCGGCCCCCGGGCCTTAGTTTGCCTACCCATGCTCTACACCGCTTGCAGGCCAGAAGCCAGATTTTACTCCATTCCTTGACTCCATTTTGGCACCTTCTTTCATGTTAAAATTAAGCAGCAGATCACATGTTCTTAATAGACATTTCATAATGTCCAAAATATCAAACTATAAATTGCAATTAAAACTCCCTTTCTTATAAATGAATAAATGTAAGCAAGAGAAAAGTTTATTGAAGTTTGGTATGTGTTAACTTACCACTCACACACACACGTTTTCAATTGCTCTGGGCCCAGAATAGTAATTTAACTGATCACAGCACAGTCAAAATCCTAGGTAAAAAGTATGTTTAAAAGCAATATTCAATCTTAGGCTATCAAATCAGAAGCTTGGGGTTGGAGGGGAGAGCTTTGTTTAATTTGTTGTCTTGCATTTGTAACACAGACACATGTTTATATTTGAAAGGGCAGCACTACAATTTGCATGGAAAATAAAGGTGATAACTCATTTTTATGGCACATACATCATGTACTTTACTGCCTCTAGATGACAGCATCACAATAAATTTCATATTCAGATTTCATAGCATTGCCTTTCCCTCTATATTTATATTGCATAATCAGATATCATGTTAAGGTACCTATAATTAATAAACACTTGTTATAATCTTGTTTACATATCTAGTAATAAATTTGCCAGCTTTTTTAAAAAAAAACAAAGGCAGCGTATTCCAAGGCAAAACTTGATAAATTTCCTATAACTATGACATACTATAGATTACCATAACAACATCAGCTGTGTTAGATTTAAATAATGAAAAAGGTTAAAAAATCTGTACATGAAATGCCTAGTGGAAATATTTGCATCTCATTCTGATGTACCGGGAACTGTAATTTACCCCCCCCCCCCACAGAGCTATTATTCCCAGCACCCTTAAACTGCAGTTCTCAGTATTCTTTTTGGGTGGGGAGCGGGATGTGTTTTGAATGTGCTTTGTGTATTTGCACTCCATAGGACTCCCCTGTTAGAGTCTACCCTTTTCCCATATATTTAAATAATGCACAGTTTTTATCTCCATTTGATCCCTAAGAGGACAAAAGTGACCCCCAAGTCTATCTACCTGTCTCAGGGGTGGGGAACCTATGGCTCTCTGTTGGTTACTGAACTACAACTCCCATCATTCCAGATTTCTGGCTATGCTGGCCGGGGCTGATGGGAGTTGAAGTGTGACAGCTTCTGGAGAGACACAGATTGTTGTTGTTGTTTAGTCATTTAGTCGTGTCCAACTCTTTGTGACCCCATGGACCAGAGCATGCCAGGCACTCTGTGTCTCTCCAGATGCTGGAGACACTTCAACTCCCACAAAGGCCCATATAGTTAAAGCTATGGTTTTCCCAGTAGTGATGTATGGAAATGAGAGCTGGACCGTCAAGAAGGCTGATTGCCGAAGAATTGATGCTTTTGAATTATGGTGCTGGAAGAGACTCTTGAGAGTCCCATGGACTGCAAGAAGATCAGACCTATCCATTCTGAAGGAAATCAGCCCTGAGTGCTCACTGGAAGGACAGATCGTGAAGCTGAGGCTCCAATACTTTGGCCACCTCATGAGAAGAGAAGACTCCCTGGAAAAGACCCTGATGTTGGGAAAGATGGAGGGCACAAGGAGAAGAGGGACAACAGAGGACGAGATGGTTGGACAGTGTTCTCGAAGCTACCAGCATGAGTTTGACCAAACTGCGGGAGGCAGTGGAAGACAGGAGTGCCTGGCGTGCTCTGGTCCATGGGGTCACGAAGAGTCGGACACAACTAAACGACTAAACAACAACAAAGATCTTTTATTGTTTCTCTGCTTATTGGCTGCTAGCGTGGGAGGGTTCAGATTCCCCGAAACCTGACAGAAAGTCCCATCATCCCCAGCCAATATGGCCATTGGCCCAGGAGCATAGGAGTTGTAGTCCACGCCCAGGGACCCAAGGCTGGGAAGCTGCCTGATGAACCTCCAGGGAGGAACACAAGTGGCTTAAACGGTCTCCAGATTCTATCCTTGCAATCTGAATAGGAAGACAGACAGTGGCTTGTTCATAGATGGTTCATGAGTTTGCGGGTTCCTCAGTTCTGACTGGACCATGCCCCCCTCTCTCTCCCCCCCATACTTTTGGCAACCAAACTCCCCCCTCCCCCACAGACCGTTGGACAATTGCCGACACTCTGCTGAACAATTCCTCTGCCTGTTGCAGAAATTGCTGTGTGCTGTGCTAGATGCTTTACGATTTTTAATTGTATTTTTATCGCTTCTTTTATTTCTTAAATTGCATTTTATTGTATTACAATTTGCAGCCCGCCGGATTCAAATTGTAAAGCAATAAAATACAATGTTAAAATATAAAAAAAATAAAATAAGCAATAAAACACAATTAAAAGTCACTGTGAATATTTAGTGTGCACATGCTACAGGCCATCAGAACGAAGCTCGCTGACCATGGCTGATCCCACAGACCACGATTTGGGAACCACTGACTGTGAACCACCCTGACTGTGAAAATGTCAGAAGCAAAATGCTATTTTTGCTGGGAGCTTGGGTAATTTCACACACTTCTGCCGCCCCTGTTGCTTCACATCTTTCCAAGCAAGCTGGCTAGGAGAATTTGTTATCCACCACTGGAGTTTGGCGTAGTGATTAGAAATACATTTGTAAACTTCAGGTTATTGTTGTTTTGTTGTTGTTGTTGTTGTTAAATAAGGCTTTCCTAGGAAAACATGTGTCTGTGTACAAATGCACAGGCATTTTCCTGGCCATCTCACCCAAAATGACTGCAAAAAAGGACCCACTTGCATCTTTCTCAGAGGCCAGGTGTTGGACGAGAAGATGGAGGGTGATGAGGTTTTGTGAGGGGCTGGTGGGGGCCTTTCTGAGCCCAGGAACCCTTGTCCACTGCCCAATCTAGCCAACCATTGAATCTAAGCCTACTGTGAAGGATGACTGGATCTGCCTGCTTCTCTCACCATCACCCCCACCAAAAAACCCCCCACATTTTGCTTAACACAAAGACAGAATGCTTAGACAGGGCTAGAGTGTTTCAAGCTCTTTGTGCTTTCTGGGGTTTCTGTGGCTTAAGGCAGCCCTGAGGCTTTGAGAACAGCCCGATTTGGCATAGGACGCCTTGCAGAATACCTTTTTCAACTCGGAAGAGCCTAGAATCTCTCCAAATTTGCCTGTTTCAGCTTAGAATTCATCCAAGCCTCCCCCCCCCCGCAAAAAAATGCTGAGAGGTTTCCAATGTTTGCAGCTGACAGGCTGCATTCGGCTTGTTGGATCACTAGTAGAATCATAGAATCATAGAGTTGGAAGAGACCACAAGGGCCATCGAGTCCAACCCCCTGCCAAGCAGGAAACACCATCAGAGCACTCCTGACATATGGTTGTCAAGCCTCTGCTTGAAGACCTCCAAAGAAGGAGACTCCACCACACTCCTTGGCAGCAAATTCCACTGTCGAACAGCTCTTACTGTCAGGAAGTTCTTCCTAATGTTTAGGTGGAATCTTCTTTCTTGTAGTTTGGATCCATTACTCCGTGTCCGCTTCTCTGGAGCAGCAGAAAACAACCTTTCTCCCTCCTCTATGTGACATCCTTTTATATATTTGAACATGGCTATCATATCACCCCTTAACCTCCTCTTCTCCAGGCTAAACATGCCCAGCTCCCTTAGCTGTTCCTCATAAGGCATCGTTTCCAGGCCTTTGACCATTTTGGTTGCCCTCCTCTGGACACGTTCCAGTTTGTCAGTGTCCTTCTTGAACTGTGGTGCCCAGAACTGGACACAGTACTCCAGGTGAGGTCTGACCAGAGCAGAATACAATGGCACTATTACTTCCCTTGATCTAGATGCTATACTCCTATTGATGCAGCCCAGAATTGCATTGGCTTTTTAGCTGCCGCGTCACACTGTTGGCTCATGTCAAGTTTGTGCGTCAACCAAGACTCCTAGATCCTTTTCACATGTACTGCTCTCAAGCCAGGTGTCACCCATCTTGTATTTGTGCCTCTCATTTTTTTGCCCAAGTGCAATACTTTACATTTCTCCCTGTTAAAATTCATCTTGTTTGTTTTTGCCCAGTTCTCTAATCTGTCAAGGTCGTTTTGAAGTGTGATCCTGTCCTCTGGGGTGTTAGCCACCCCTCCCAGTTTGGTGTCATCTGCAAATTTGATCAGGATGCCCTTGAGTCCATCATCCAAGTCGTTGATAAAGATGTTGAATAAGACCGGGCCCAAGACAGAACCCTGTGGCACCCCACTAGTCACTCTTCTCCAGGATGAAGAGGAACCATTGATGAGCACCCTTTGGGTTCGGTCAGTCAGCCAGTTACAAATCCACTGAGTGGTAGCATAGTCAAGACCGCATTTTACCAGCTTCTTTACAAGAATATCATGGGGCACCTTGTCAAATGCCTTGCTGAAATCAAGGTAGACTACATCCACTGTGTTCCCTTCATCTACCAGGCTTGTAATTCTGTCAAAAAATGAGATGAGGTTAGTCTGACATGACTTATTTTTCAGAAATCCATGCTGACTATTGGTGATCACAGCATTCCTTTCTAGGTGCTCACAGACTGTTTGCTTAATGATCTGCTCCAGAATCTTCCCTGGTATTGATGTCAGACTGACTGGGCAGTAATTATTTGGGTCCTCTCTTTCCCCTTTTTGAAAATAGGGACAACATTTGCCCTCCTCCAGTCTGCCGGAACTTCGCCTGTTCTCCAGGAATTCTCAAAGATGACTGCCAGTGGTTCTGAGATCACATCTGCCAGTTCTTTTAATACTCCTGGATGCAGTTCATCTGGCCCTGAATACATCTAAACTAGCCAAGTTTGTATACACTTGAATACATCTAAACTAGCCAAGTATTCTTGTACTATCTCCTTAGTTATTCTGGGCTGTGTTTCCTTTGCTGGATCATTTGCTTCAAATTCTTCAGGTCGGGCATTGTTTTCTTTATCGGAGAAGACTGAGGCAAAGAAGGCATTGAGGAGTTCAGCCCTTTCTGTGTCCCCTGTTTGCATTTCACCATCTTCTCCTCTGAGTGACCCCACTGTTTCTTTGTTCTTCCTTTTGCTACGAACATACCCATAAAAGCCTTTTTGTTGCTTTTAACCTCTCTAGCAAGCCTGAGTTCATTCTGTGCTTTAGCTTTTCTGACTTTGTCTCTACACGTGCTGGCTATTTGTTTGAATTCCTCTTTGGTGGTTTCCCCCTTTTCCATTTTTGTACACATCCTTTTTTAATCTTAACTCAGTTAAAAGTTCTTTAGATAGCCACCCTGGCTTCTTTAGGCACCTTCCATGTTTCCGTCTCATTGGTATTGCCTGACGTTGTGCTTTTACTATCTCCCTCTTAACAAACTCCCAGCCATCATGAACTCCCTTTCCTTTTAGTATTACTGTCCATGGGATCTCACCCAGCACTTCCCTAAGTTTTATGAAGTCGGCTTTCTTAAAGTCAAGAAATTGAGTCCTAGTATGCTTGGCTGCTCCTTTCCGCTGTATAGTAAACTTCAGAAGAGCATGATCACTCGCGCCTAATGATCCTTCCACTTCTACCCCACTAACCAGGTCATCAGCATTGGTTAGGACCAGATCTAAAATGGCTGTTCCTCTTGTTGCTTCTCCCACTTTCTGGACAATGAAGTTGTCTGCAAGGCCAGTGAGGAATCTGTTTGACCTTATGCTCTTGCCTGAGTTTGACATCCAACAAATATCCGGGTAATTGAAGTCCCCCATTACTACTATCTCCCTTCCTTTTGCATGCTTGGCCATCTGTTCCAGGAAGGCATCATCTATGTCCTCCGTTTGGCTTGGGGATCTATAGTAAACTCCCACAATGAGGTCACTGTTATTCTTCTCTCCTTAATTTTGACCCAAATGCTCTCACTTTGGCTTTGAGGTTCTAAATCTTGGATCTCTTCACAGGTATACACATCCCTGACATATAACGCCACTCCTCCTCCTTTCTTGTCTGGTCTGTTTCTCTGAAATAGATTGTATCCCCCCATTATTACATTCCAATCGTGGGACTTATCCCACCAGGTTTCAGTGATGCCTATTATGTCATATTTAGTTTGCTGTACCAAGAGCTCAAGCTCATCTTGTTTATTTCCCATGCTTTGCGCATTAGTGTACAGACACTGAAGTCCATTAATCATTCCCCCGTGTCTCTTATTGGATTTTTTTCCTCCCACCACTAGGTCTGCATGCTGTTTGCTCCATTTGGTCTATGACATTTGGATGATCATCTTCATCAATTGATAGACTCCTACCTTCAGGAGCACTGTCTCCCTCCCCCACATTAGTCAGTTTAAAGCCCTCCTGATGAGGTTTCTGAGATTTTTGGCAAAAACATTTCTCCCAACTGTTGTGAGGTGCAGTCCATCGCTTGCCAGAAGTCCATCTTCAAGAAACTGCAGTCCGTGATCTAAGAATCCAAACCGTTCCTGTTTACACCATTTGCGAAGCCAGCTGTTCACTTCCACTATTTTTCCCTCTCTCCCTGGGCCACGTCGTTCAACTGGGAGGACAGATGAGATGACAATTTGTGCATTTAATTGCTTCAATTTCCTGCCCAGAGCCTCGTAGTCTCTTTTGATCTTCTGGAGGCTATTGCTTGCAGTGTCATTGGTTCCCACATGAACCAAGAGGAAGGGGTATTTGTCAGTGGGTTTTATGATTCCTTGCAGTCGTTCAGTTACATCTTGGATCTTAGCCCCGGGGAGACAGCACACTTCCCGAGACATCTTGTCAGGCCCACAGATCACTGCTTCTGTTCCCCTCAGTAGAGAATCCCCTATCACCACTACACGCCTCCTCTTAGGTTTGGTCGGGGTTCTTCCGTGAGCTGTCCATTCCAAGGTCGCCTGCACATTCCCTGAGGACTGACTTTGCTGCTCGTCTTCATATACCTGATCGACTGTAATGAGGGAGATCCTCAAATGGAGTCTGCTCTTCGTCTTCCATGCTAGGGGAGAGGACCTCAAAGCGATTGTGTATTTCTAAACAATCAGAGCGAACCCTGGGCCTCCTACTTCTTTGAGTCACGTTTCTCCATATATCTGGCTCCTGTGTTGGTGAACTAGCCTCCTTCTCAGGGGAGTCCCCTATCTCCTCCTTGGTGGAGACGGTGTGCTCTGTTGCGTCCAAGAAGAGCTCCAGCTCTCTAATTCTTTGGAGCGTAGCTACACGTTCCTCCAGTTGCTGGACTTTGTCTTCTAAGAGGGCAATCAACATGCAATTGCTGCAGGTAAAGCTGCCTGCAACCTTTGGCAAGATGGCAAACATTGCACAGGAACCGCAGGCGACTGCAGCTCTTCCCTCCCCCTCCATCTTGAGAACGTGTTGTTGGGGGTGGCTACAGCGGTCCTCCATCATAAAAAGCGTGAAGACAGGACAAATAACTCCCCCCACAAAAAACCTTGGTCTCCCCCAACAAACGTTTGAGACTAGCTCCCCTAAATCTAAAAGATGGATCAAACTGCGCGCGCCGCTGCCCTGCAAGCTCTGATAAGCTCCTCCCACAGCTAATCACCTGCCTCAACAGAAACCCTGCCCCCTCTGACCTTTGCACAGGGAGAGCAGCTAATCAGCCACAAAGAAACACACACACACACACACACACACACACACACAAGAAAACCCCTTTTGCTCCTTCTTCAACTGCTGCCCTGCAAGCTCTGAACAGGCCTTTTAATAGTATAAGCTTAATATTCATACAATGCTACGTTTGACTATGTTGTATTTAAAATGCTATGCAGAGAGGTTTGCACTAGGCATGAGGTGTTTGTCTTTAGCAAATGCGGCAAGGAGAGTGTTTAAGGCTAATTAATGGCTCATCCCAGAAACCCAAGCAGAGATCTCTCACAGCAAAAAGATGAAACCTGAGAACTCAGCGTATCAGAGATAGTGAACAAGCAAGATGGTTCCATAGGATCTCATTAGAGAGAGAGGAAAATTATTGAACTGTATTAATGACTGAAAAGAATATCAGACCGCATTCCTTGCTTATTTACGAGCAATGTGTTATTTTGTATTTTGTATTGTTCATTTGTAACTGTTTCAATACTGCGGTAAAGCTATGGAACTCATTATTGTGGCGGAGAGCAAATTCATTTCTGCTCTGAACAAGGTCTGGATAAGGGATTCCATTTGCAATGACTCTGACAAAGCTTATGTTACTGAATCCTGAAAGCCACCTACTCCGAAGCGAGGTCTCCACTACAGCCACTTTCTTGTCTGCCGAAATTAGTGATTGCCTTATGAAAACAATGCAATATCTTCTTGTACAATGGGATTGCACGGGCAGCTCATTAATCAAATAAATAAAAGTAGCATGGATATGGGATGTGGGTGGCGCTGTGGGTTAAACCACAGAGCCTAGGACTTGCCGATCAGAAGGTCAGCGGTTCGAATCCCCACGATGGGGTGAGCTCCCGTTGCTTGGTCCCTGCTCCTGCCAACCTAGCAGTTCGAAAGCACATCAAAGTGCAAGTAGATAAATAGGTACCGCTCCGGCGGGAAGGTAAATGGCGTTTCCGTGCGCTGCTCTGGTTCGCCAGAAGCAGCTTAGTCATGCTGGCCACATGACCCGGAAGCTGTACACCGGCTCCCTCAGCCAGTAGAGTGAGATGAGCGCTGCAACCCCAGAGTCAGGCACGACTGGACCTAATAGTCAGAGGTCCCTTTACCTTTACCTAGCATGGATATAAAGAGCATATCCATCAACATTCGCATTGGAAGATGTCCGATTTCATCCACGTATTGTATTGGGTGCAAGAGAAACAGAGCATGCAGTGAAGGCTGTTGCACCCAGGTCCTGCTTGTGAACTTTCCAGAAGTCTCTGTTGGCTGCTGCACTACATGGGTCATTGGCCTGATTCAACAGGGCTATTCCTGTCAGTGATCTGGTTCACATAGTTTTCCTTTGCCTAACTGAGTAATCAATACTTCCAAATTAAGTCTTGGCTACAACGCATGCATCATTAGAATAATTTGCCTACAGCCAACCGACTGTTTTGTTATTCTAAAGCGAGCTATTGCAGTGAGGTTTTTCATTTAGGATGATTGACCGTTTTGAAACTTCTTCCCCCTCCTCCGTTACAGAGCTGGGGATCAACTTCGATCACATCTGGCAAAAAACATTAACCGTCCTCAACCCAATGAAGCCAGCAGAGGGCAGCATCATGAATGAGACGGACCTGACAGGGCCTATGGTTTTCTGCCTGGCGCTTGGAGCGATGCTGCTACTGGTACGGTATAGTGCAAACTGCCGCTGTTCTCATAGCAATATCCTCAGTAGAAAGGCAAACGACTTTGGGCTTTGTAGGGAGAAGGAGCTCGATTAAAAGCCCCACGTGCTAAGGAATGTCGAAAGCAACAGCGACTCATTTGCTAGGAAGCTAGCCTTGTGGCTGCACCCTGCTCAAGTGAGCTGCTTCTGATCAATGGTCAGGGATGATAGGAGGTCATGTGCACGGTCTCTGGAGAGCCACAGACTTCCTATCGCTGGGATAGTGGGAAAGGACACCTGAACGCAGCACCTACAGCTATCTAACCAACTTAATTGATGAACTGAAAGCTTTCTCAGCTGCCTTGTGTGGTTGTGCCCTCCCCAGGCACCTTCCATTATATAAAGCGCAACACATTGAACTTGAAATCTTCCGAGCCACTCAGACGTGATGCGGCTGCTGTGCTTCCTGACCTGTTCAAAAAGGGCTTCTTGCAACTGGGAGAGGAAAGTGGCTAAGAGCATCAGAAAATAGGGCTGTCAATATATAGGTACCAACAGGAGAAAAACAACAACCCAACCCATTTTAAAAAAAATAAAAATTAGGTAGTTATCTGAAACTACCTTATTGGGACATGTTCCCTTAAAAGTTGCCAGCAGCGCTTTTGCTTAGAACACTATATGTTGTGCTAATTACTGTATGTGATTAATAACAATAAGAGTCATTTTCTTATTTATAACCTGCCCATCTGGCTGGGTTTCCCCAGCCACTCTGGGCGGCTCCCAGCAAAATAATGAAAACATGATAAAACATCAAACTTTGAAAACTTCCCTAAACAGTACATACCCCAAAACGTGCATGCGGGTGGCGCTGTGGTCTAAACCACTGAGCCTCTTGGGCTTGCCAGTCAGAAGGTTGGCGGTTCGAATCCACGAGACGGTGTGAGTTCTTATTGCTCTGTCCAAACTCCTGCCAGCCTAGTGGTTCGAAAGCATGCCAGTGGAAGTAGATAAATAGGTGCCACTTCAGCGGGAAGGTAAACAGTGTTTCTGTGTGCTCTGGTTTCCCTCACAGTGTTCCATTGCGCCAGAAGCAGCTTAGTCCTGCTGGCCACATGACACGGAAAACTGTCTGTGGACAAACGCCGGCTCCCTAGGCCTGAAAGCGAGATGAGCGCCGCAACCCCATAGTTGCCTTTGACTGGACTTAACCGTCCAGGGGTCCTTTACTGTCAGAGAACTGCCATCGGAGCTGGAAGCGGAGGGGAGGCTCCAAAGGGATGGCGGAGAGGGTCCCAGTAGGGAGAGAGGGAGCCCGTCTGCTGGGGAAGGAAATCAGCGTAACACCAGTGTAGAAGGGGGGCAGATGGGGGAATCAGAGAGGAGGCTCCAAGACTCCTCGCCGGAGACCAGCGGAGAGAGTACGGGTACTCCGCTGCCCACACCCTCCCTGCGCAGAAGACTTCCGCGCAGGGAGAGTAGGAGGAGACTTGGCGTCAAGGAACTTTTGTGCTGGAAAAAGTTTAAGAAACGCCCACTGACGGATTCTGCCAGCGACTGAGACAGTCATGATGCTGGAGGCTGTTCAGTCAGAAAGGGTTAACCAGGTAACCTAGCCAGGAGTGGCGGCAACTTACGCACGAGCAACCCCTAAACCCATTACATTTACCTTTACTTTTTTTGCATGTTAGGATGCCAGGTCATTAGGTTCAGCCCGATTTCACACATGGCTGCATGTGAGACTGCTGTGTACAGTGGTACCTCGGGTTACATACGCTTCAGGTTACATACGCTTCAGGTTACAGACTCCGCTAACCCAGAAATAGTACCTCGGGTTAAGAACTTTGCTTCAGGATGAGAACAAAAATTGTGCTCCAGCGGCATGGCAGCAGTAGGAGGCCCCATTAGCTAAAGTGGTGCTTCAGGTTAAGAACAGTTTCAGGTTAAGATCAGACCTCCGGAACGAATTAAGTACTTAACCAGAGGTACCACTGTAAATGTGTGTGTTTCCAGTGGCGTAGCGTGGGGGGTGCAGGGGGGGCCAGCCGCACCGGGCGCAACATCAGGGGGGGCGCTTGCACTCGCAGCTCTCTGCCCCTACCTGGCTCGAGTGCTAAAATCGACGGGTTAGGGGGCGCAAATTACTTGCCTTGCCCCGGGTGCTGACAACCCACGCTACGCCACTGTGTGTTTCTTCCATAGCTGCCCTCCTCGGGGGCTTAAGATGGGAGAAAAAAGGAGGCAGAAATGTAGCCTGGCCTGTCCCATTTTAGAACTCATTGGCGCATGTTGACTCTCTGCGCCTGCCAAAGAAGAAGACTTTTGTCCGTGATTCTGCCTCTGGCTTACCAGCATCTGATGACTTCTGCTTTCTGATTCACTCGGGGCCTGACCCTGCTAAGATGCCAGAACATTTGAAACAAAAAGTTGGCAACTCTTTTAAACAGCTGCTGGATCAGCACCAATTAGCAGGTTATAATGTTCATTCCCATGTGATGAAAACCTTCGGTGTGCTGAGTTCTGGAGATCAAGCTGTTGTTAAAGCCCAGAGACCAGGCTGCATTTTTTCCTCCTTATTAAGCAAAGCTCCCGGCGAAGGGATGGAGTAGAACGAGAGGAGCAACTTAGTTCTTTCCAGTTGTCATTGGACCTCCAACTCTTTTCAGCCCCAGACAGTGTGGACCAGTGGTCAGGGATGATGGGAGCTGTAGCCAAACCATCTCTGGAAGGTAGGACATTTGCTACCCCTGGAGTCGAAGACATGGTGGTTGCACCCATTGGAAAATGTATGCATCATCTCCTGCTGATAACCCAAGTAATGGCTATTCTTTGTTGCATCCACCATATAGAAAATAAACCAAGGAAAGTTGATACACCTGTAGGACCTTCAAGTCCTTTTGGTGACATGTTGGTTGTAACCTTGCTGAAGGAACAGAACTACAATGTGGCATTTTTCACCCCACCAATTGGCACACCTTGCCAGCAGGTTGAGTTTATGGCGCACAGGTGAGGGCCTGTTTTCGTTTAGATGCAATAATAATAATAATAATAATAATAATAATAATAATATTTATACCCCGCCCATCTGGCTGGGTTTCCCCAGCCACTCTAGGCAGCTTCCAACAAAATATTAAAAATACATTAAAACATCAGTAATTAAAAACTTCCCTAAACAGGGCTGCTTTCAGACGTCTTCTAAAAGTCAGATAGTTGTTTATTTCCTTGACATCTGGTGGGAGGGCATTCCACAGGGCGGGTGCCAGTACCAAGAAGACCCTCTGCCTGGTTCCCTGTAACTTTGCTTCTCGCAGTGAGGGAACCGCCAGAAGGCCTATTTCCGCTGCCGTTTTCTTTTGTCTCTTTTGGTCAGCCTTGCCAAATTCCACCTGAGCGCCCCACATAGAGAACTGGTTGCATGAATGATTATGGCACTCCTAGAAATGAGTCCACGTTTACCTTTTTTTTTTTTGACATGTGGCTGAGAGCATTCAGAAATTTACCCGGAGGGTAGTGTCATTATGCAGTCTAGTCACTAGGTGGCACTGGACTTAGATGTAGCTGTGTGGATTCAGGAGTTTCCTGTGTCCCGTTTACAAAACAAAAGCATGGTTGGCTACCTTTCTGACTGGTGTGTCCTTTAAGCCTTCCATGACATCTACCATTATATGGTGCTGGCATTCATGTGGTGATTTGGTTATATAAATTGGCATAGGCTGGCTAAGAATTACTGGTGGCGTGTGCAATAAGAGTGGGGTAAATCAGCTCGAAGAAAACCTGCCATCTGCAGCATTCCCACTCCTCCCAGGAATACTGCTGCTACTGCTGCTAAAGAAGCTATTGTCTATGGTATATATTGCAAAGCCAGCCAGAAGGGAATTAGTAGCAGTACAAGAAGAAACGAACCATTCTAAGGAGGACAGTCACATGTACCATAGGGGAAAGGGCGGTAGCTCATTGGTAGAGCACTTGCTTTCAATGCAGAAGGTCCCAAAAATCCGGATAGGTCTGAGAGATCCCTCTTTGTGAAACTGTGGAAAGCCACTACCAATCAATGTAGACAATACTAAGCTAGATCAAACAGCTTCCTTTGTTCCAGAATTGTGGATACTGGTGAACACAGATAAAGGGACAAAGACGAAGAGCCTTGTACTGTCACACCATTAAGAATGGCCTTGTTTAGTCGTTTAGTCATGTCCGACTCTTCGTGACCCCATGGACCAGAGCACGCCAGGCACTCCTGTCTTTCACTGCCACCCACAGTTTGGTCAAACTATGGTAGGTTCGAGAACACTGTCCAACCATCTCGTCCTCTGTCGTCCCCTTCTCCTTGTGCCCTCTATCTTTCCCAACATCAGGGTCTTTTCCAGGGAGTCTTCTCTTCTCATGAGGTGGCCAAAGTATTGGAGCCTCAGCTTCAGGATCTGTCCTTCCAGTGAGCACTCAGGGCTGATTTCCTTAAGAATGGCCTTAGCAGTTCTCAACCTGTGGGTCCCCAGATGTTGTTGGACTACAACTCCCATCATCCCTGAGCTCTGGCCTTGCTAGCTAGGGGTGATGGGAGTTGTAGTTCAACAACATCTGGGGACCCACAGGTTGAGAAAGGCTGCGGCTTAGGTTGTATCTACCCCTGCAGGGACTCAGCTGGACTGGTCCATTATAACGTTAAAAATGTGTTATAAAAATGTGACACCAGAAGGCGCTGTGGAGCAGTGATCAATCATCAATGGCAAAATGCATTGGGAGCTACCGTATATTTTTAAATAACTTTTTAACAGCGTTTTTCATACCTCTGTAGATCCTGCTCAGATGTGTGGAACCTTTGGCCCTCCAGATGCCGATGAACTACAACTTCCATCGTCCCTGGCCATTGGCCATACCTGCAGGGGTTGATGGGAGTTGTAGTTCAGCAACTTCTGGCGGACCAAAGGTTCCTCACACTTGTTCTACCACCTGAAACAGAGACCTAAAAGACAATGAGCAGCCTTGAGCAGTTGGTGCACCGGGACTGAATAACATTCAGATTTCCAGATTGCTGGTTTCTGTGTCAATTTCTGGCAAAATCTCTCTCAGAGAGGCTTGAACATATTCCTTCTTGGTCTGTACTTGGTCTGTAGTTTGAGGGATGGCAAGTATTTCTGGGCCAAAGTTGCCACCTGTGGGCTAAGTCATAAAAGGTTAGATCTGAGAAAATAATGTGTGTTCTGTGTACATAAACCTCATCAGAAATATTAAGTTCCAAAGCAGTGAATTCCCCCCACCCCACAAACAAGCCTCTAATGAAAGTCAAGGAGATAGAAACACATGTGGGGCATGGGAAATGGGAAGATAATTTGAATTCATCTGTTCCAGCTTCATTTCCCTCCTCTCCTCCCCAACTACCCCCTTCCCTTTCTTATTGCACCGAAACCTTCCTCCTCTGCCAAGCAGTATATCAAAGAGAGTTTTCATTTAGCCGCTATCTTGCTGTCTTCTGCCTCTGGCGCAAGCAATTTGTTAATCTTAGATTAAGCTGCTAAGTATGGCTGTGTCAATTAATCAAACGCTCTGGAACAAACAAGTTAAAATATTAGCTGATTATTGCTGGCATTGTGTTTATGCGCGGCATCTGCAGGAAATATTGCAGATCAAACCTCCCTGGCCAAATTGAAAATGCTAAACCTATTGAAAACCTTTAATGACTATCGAGGTTGTTGATAGTAATCTGTTACACTAATGGCATTATATACCCACAGTATGTCAGCAGCAGTCGGGGGAGTGCTGGAAATATGAGTGTTGGAAAAGCCAGTGGCCCGTTAATTCTCTTTCAGAGATAAAAGTGTCTTCTCAAATTGTCACGACAGTCCTTGTTACGGAGTCAATAGCTATTAACATGCTGTCCCATGTGGGTCTCCTCACGTGTCAGTCCCATTGAGTTCAATGGGAATTAATCCCAGGTAAGGCGGGTGGCGCTGTGGGTTAAACCACATAGCCTAGGACTTGCTGATCAGAAGGTCGGCGGTTCAAATCCCTGTGACGAGGTGAGCTCCCATTGCTTGGTCCCTGCTCCTGCCAACCTAGCAGTTCGAAAGCCCGTCAAAGTGCAAGTAGATAAATAGGTACCACTCCGGCGGGAAGGTAAACGGCAGTTCTGTGTGCTGCTCTGGTTCGCCAGAAGCGGCTTAGTCATGCTGGCCACATGACCTGGAAGCTGTACGCCGGCTCCCTCGGCCAATAAAGTGAGATGAGTGCCGCAACCCCAGCGTCGGTCACGACTGGACCTAATGGTCAGGGGTCCCTTTACCTTTACTTTTTAAGGATGTGTAGGATTGCACCCTAAAAGGGGGGGGGATGATAACTGGGTGAAGCAAAGGAAGAAGAAGAAAAGTGCCATGAAAAGGTAAACGGTCATTGATAGGTTAATGCAGCGGCAACTGCTTTTTGGCTGCAATATTAGGGGAAGAAATCACAATTGTACTTTTGGTGCCATCAGCTTGGAGATTCATAAAAGGTATCACTGAAACTTTCTAGGTATTCATTTGCTTACAGTGGCCAAGCGCACGCGCTCAGACACATTTTGTGGATTCAGTTACGTAAGTTTTGTACTTTTTCATGAAGAGGTATGATGTATCTTTGCTGCAACAGAAAGGTGCACCCAGATGTTGAACACTTTGCAGAACGCTCAGTACGGAGAAGACAAAAAAGAACGGGTACAAGCCAGCAAAGTCAGCAATAACTAGACCCTGGTTCTCACTAGAGTGGTAATCTTCATTACATCTGGCCGCAGGCAAGAGTTTACGTGACTGCTTGTTCCTCCATATGGCAGGGAAAACCTTCCATGTAGAAAACTAGATGTTGGGATGGAAGGAAGGGTCTTGCATAGCTGACTCCCTGGTATGTTGGCTTTCCATGTGGAAGGAATTGTGTTACAGGTCAATTATATCTCAGGGTACTGCCAGATACTCTGTTTAGTGAGCATTCGCCTGTGTTTGCAGAGAGATTAGACAATGTTGGCTATTGGATGATCTGTTTGCACACAAAAATGCGGGGAGTTTAGATTACATCTGCTATTTATCGAGCACTCATTCTGATTTATTTGTGGGAAGCTTAAAGGTAAAGGACACCTGACCATTAGGTCCAGTCGTGACCGACTCTGGAGTTGCGGCGCTCATCTCGCTTTATTGGCCGAGGAAGCCGGCGTACAGCTTCCGGGTCATGTGGCCAGCATGACTAAGCCGCTTCTGGCAAACCAGAGCAGCACACAGAAACACCATTTACCTTCCCACCAGAGCGATACCTATTTATCTACTTGCACTTTGAGGTGCTCTCGAACTGCTAGGTTGGCAGGAGCAGGGACCGAGCAACGGGAGCTCACCCTGTCGTGGGGATTCGAACTGCTGACCTTCTGATCGGCAAGTCCTAGGCTCTGTGGTTTAACCCACAGCGCCACCCGCTGGGAAGCTTAGCTAATAATAATAACAATGATTATTATTCTTAATGATGTTGTGTCAAATGAAACGTTGCCCCACATTTTCCAGCACATTTCCCTCATAATCAATGCATCTCTGGTTCCTTAAGGATGCATCTCATCTGTCCCTTTTTTTAGGCGGGATTCCATCACATAACAGCAAATTCTACCCCCATTTCCTCCATGGCTTGGCAGAAAGGAAGACCCTCCACTTCTTTTCCGGCTGATCTACCATTTGTATGGTGATCCCCATCTCTCTTTCTTCATTTCTACAGGCGGGAAAAGTCCACTTTGGCTACGTTTACGGCATGAGTGCTATTGGTTGCACAGCAATTCATGCTTTGCTCAGCCTGATGAGCATCACAAGTGTTTCCTATGGCTGTGTGGCGAGTGTGCTAGGCTACTGCCTGCTGCCCATGGTGATCCTATCAACCTACGCGGTCTTTTTCTCCTTACAGTAAGTGTGAAGTTTCATCTCAAATGCTGGCAGGTTGCTTTGAATGATAAGGAAGGGGTAATGTGAGCTTCATTGAGACAGAGGACACCAGGAAATAGCAAGAAAGGATAAGAGAAGCAATGGGGAAACAGAGAGTTATGGGAATTGCTTTGCTGGATCTGTTTAGGTTAGCATGCTTTTTTCCAATTGTGGTCAGCCAAATTTATTCTAGATACTCAGATCATGGTAGTGACAGGTACCCTCTAGGGCCTGGCAAGACAGAGAGCCAGTGTGGTGTAGTGGTTAAGAGCGGTAGTCTCATAATCTGGTGAACTGGGTTCGCGTCTCCGCTCCTCCACATGCAGCTGCTGGGTGACCTTGGGCTAGTCGCACTTCTTTGAAGTCTCTCAGCCCCACTCACCTCACAGAGTGTTTGTTGTGGGGGAGGAAGGGAAAGGAGAATGTTAGCCGCTTTGAGACTCCTTCAGGTAGTGATAAAGCGGGATATCAAATCCAAACTCTTCTTCTTCTTCTACCTAGGGTTAAAGACGCTTCAGGTTACAGACGCTTCAGGTTACAGGCTCCGCTAACCCAGAAATAGTACCTCGGGTTAAGAACTTTGCTTTAGGATGTGAACAGAAATCGCGTGGCGGTGGCACGGCAGCAGCGGGAGGCCCCATTGGCTAAAGTGGTACCTCAGGTTAAGAACAGTTTCAGGTTAAGAACGGACCTCCAGAACGAATTAAGTTCTTAACCCGAGGTACTACTGTATCTGATTTTCAACACTGTGATATATCACCAGCTAAACATCACAATATAACGACATATCACAGTGTCTGAAATAAAGATGGAGCTATGTAGAGGCATTGGCTGGCTTTGCAGTTTTCCCTGCATTGTGATTTTTGCACACACATGCACACATACACCAGGCTTTGTGATACACTGGTACCTTGGTTGTCAAACGGCCTGGCTCCAGAACAAATCGGCTCCCGAGTGCTGCAAATGCAGGAGTGTTCCAGTTTGTGGACATTTTTTGGAAGCTGAACGTCCGACGCGGCTTCCGATTGAGTGCAGGAAGCTCCCGCAGCCAGTCAGTAGCCACTCCTTGGTTTTCGAACGGTTTCAGGAGTCGTAGGGACTCCCAGAACGGATTAAGTTCAAGAACCAAGGTGCCACTGTATATTGCCAGATCAAAAATTATGAAACCAATATAACAGTATGGATTCCAAACTGGTTTTGGACAATATATTGATATATCGCCCAGCCCTAGTACCCTCTGCTGCCTCTTCCCAGCACACAATGAGGTACACTGCCTCTGTAAAGAAAGGTTTAATTTTGCTTACATAGCCAACAGAAGAAGCCAGGTAATTAAATCTTGCTTGTATCACCTGTTCAGGGCTCTGGCCCAGGGTTGGATAGGATTATGGGGAATGTTTTGCTAGTAACCACCTGCTTTCCTCCAACCCTAATCAATGATGGAACAGTGGGAGCTCCAAAAGCAGCTCTGGATAAACTGCAGCCAGGAAATGGAACAGAAAAAAATCCCGTTGATTCATTTTACAAAGCAGCAGTTGCATCTAAATACATTTTGCTGCTGTTGGACTTGGTTGTTGTTGCTTTTTTATCGTACTGAGTTTCCGCCTTACTCCACTGAGCAGCTAAGCTAAAGACACGCCCTCTTTTTCATGGGGAGAGTCGTCATGACAATTCATAGTTAAAAGGAGAAGTCGGCAAATGTGTTCTCTTTTTTTGCTCTTCAAAACATGGCAACCCTAGCAGTCTCTACAGCAATAGACAGGGTTAATTGGTTAACTATGTAATCATTTTCATGTATAAAGCACTGCATGTGTATTTTTAAAAACAGCAACAGCAAAATGGGCTTACTCTGGAGAATAGCCAGACTTCATAACAGACCTGTTGCCCATTTTAGAAAATGGCCAAATAAAATGTCCAGTGAACCCATCACAATTTAAACTATAAAATCCCTTTGGCTCCCCCCCCCCCCAGCCTTGTATGTCACTCTAAAGTTCCATGAACATCAGAATTAGGAAACTGGATCTAGCCCGCTAGCTTTTCTCCCCCAGCCTGAATGGACCAAGTTTGACAGGTGGGTGGGACCACTCTCCTGTCAATCACCTGATGTCACAATGTCAGGTGACCCATTTTTGCCTGTGCAGATTTAGAATCTAGAGTTTGGGTGTAGAGCAGGTGGGCGTGGCTTGGTTGAAATGGTCTCAGTCCAGTATATCTGAAGAAGCGTCTCCACCCCCATCGTTCTGCCCGGACACTGAGGTCCAGCACCGAGGGCCTTCTGGCAGTTCCCTCACTGCGAGAAGCCAAGTTATAGGGAACCAGGCAGAGGGCCTTCTCGGTAGTGGCACCCGCCCTATGGAACGCCCTCCCACCAGATGTCAAAGAGAACAACAACTACCAGACTTTTAGAGGACATCTTAAGGCAGCCCTGTTTAGGGAAGCTTTTAATGTTTAATAGGTTATTGTATTTTAGTGTTTTGTTGGAAGCCGCCCAGAGTGGCTGGGGAAGCCCAGCCAGATGGGCGGGGTATAAATAATAAATTATTATTATTATTATTATTATTATTATTATTATTCCCACAGAACAGAAGTTCCGCCCCTCTGATGTACATAGATATATAGGTATAGATATAGAAAGTAAGATAGGCAATGAAATAGCACCTTGCATCTTTAGGCTCAACTTTCCTGTGAGCAGGAGGGAAAGAAAAAGCAACGAGGAGAAACTGACATTGGCACCATTCCTATCTATGGTGGCTTCTCTGTCAGCTGACACATCACCTGTGTCCCTCACTGCAAAATATTTAAGGGCCCGAATAGACTTTTCCTTAAAAGTGTGGTTTGTTTTCCGGGGTGGGGGATAAGGGCAGGGGCATGGGTGAGGGGCGACTGGTAGGGAAGAGAGAAACAAATGGAAGCCAAACAGAAGAAGAGTTTGGACTTGATATCCCGCCTTTCACTACCCTTTAAGGAGTCTCAAAGTGGCTAACAATCTCCTTTCCCTTCCTCCCCCACAACAAACACTCTGTGAGGTGAGTGAGGCTGAGAGACTTCAGAGAAGTGTGACTAGCCCAAGGACACCCAGCAGCTGCATGTGAAGGAGCGGGGAAGCGAACCTAGTTCACCAGATTACGAATCTACCGCTCTTAACCACTATACCACACTGGTTGAGTATCTCAAGAGAGCTATATTTTGAAGACAGAGAAGAACAGTAATGGAGGACAAAAAAAAAAAAAAAAAAGGTTAGCGACTGGAAATGAATTCTTTTATCATTTTCATTTTCCCTTCCTTTGTTTCCTCAAGCTGCCCATTAGATACTGATGAAATTGCTGTAAGCCGCACTGAGGACAAGGGGATACAACGTAAATATAAGAACAAATAGCTTGTTCCTGTAACTAGCTAACATAGTAGGCATATCATTATGACAGGATTCGGCCACTTCATTCGCCATTCCCTCTGTCTGGAGAAAAGTGCCAACTGTTTCTCTGCGGAGAAGGAGGGCAGCAGTGGCACGAGCGAATTCACAGACCCTTCGCTAAGCTGCCACTTCCAGCTCCCTCCACAAGTCAGTCAAATTGATACAAAGCCGGCATCAGTTTGCAGGGCAGATGTGCCCGTTGCCCTGGATTGCACAGTGCAAATATTACATCATGCACACATTTCTCTTTATCTGCTGCCAGCTTCTGGTTCGCTGCGGGATGAAAATGCTGCGGTTGTTTGTCTTGCCATCCTAACAAACGAGATAGCAGCTGACTAATTTACTACTTGATGCTTAGTCTTTTAAAGCTGCAAATTATGAAGCTGTTTTTCATCCGAAATGAAAAATGCCCTCCCGCCTGCTCCCCTCATCTTCTGTTTGTTTGGCTTGATGTTATATTGTCTTTGCTGCTGGCCCTTGGCTATCAATTCTATCAATGCATCCCTGATTAGGAAGGCTCTTGAAGTGTTTTTATTCTGCTCTTATTAACCAGTAGGGTTTTGTTTTTTTATGTTTTGCAGGGGGTTTCTCGGAACTCTGCTAGCTCTCCTCATTATTGGATGGTGCAGCCTCTCAGCCTCCAAAATATTCACTTCCGCCTTGTCGATGGAAGGCCAGCAGTTTCTGGTTGCCTACCCCTGTGCTTTGCTCTATGGTCTCTTTGCACTCATGGCTATCTTCTGAGCTTTGGTTTCCAGGCAAACTGTGCTATCTTATGTTGGACTGCAAAATCAGAACCATCTACAGATCTTTTTGAATGATTTAGGGATGTTCCCCAAAGCTCATGGTTTAGGGCTCGAATTCAGCCTGGAAAGCTTGCTGTATTGAGGGGCACCAGCTCCTGGGGACTGAGCCTTTTTGCCCCCCAATATTTTGGGGGTGAGGGCCAGCCCCCCAATGTCTAAAAAGTACAAAGGCAAACCGTGGAGCTGAGTGTGGTATAGCTCTAGTGGCCGGCTCCTTTTCTTCCTTCATTTCATTTTCATTTTACTTTTAATTTGTATACAGTGGAACCTCGGGTTACATACGCTTCGGGTTACATACGCTTCAGGTTACAGACTCCGCTAACCCAGAAATAGTACCTCGGGTTAAGAACTTTGCTTCAGGATGAGAACAGAAATTGTGTGGCAGCGGCGTGGCAGCAGCAGGAGGCCCCATTTGCTAAAGTGGTGCTTCAGGTTAAGAACAGTTACAGGTTAAGAACGGACCTCCGGAACGTATTAAGTATGTAACCAGAGGTACCACTGTACCACCCTTCTATATTTCTATATACAAGGTGGTTTATGGCAACAAAATATACAGCAAAGAACACACACCTTATCATAATCTGATCCAATAATAATAATAATAATAATAATAATAATAATAATTTATTATTTGTACCCCGCCCATCTGACTGGGTTTCCCCAGCCACTCTGGGCGGCTTCCATAGAAACCAAAAATACAGTAAAATATCACAGATTAAAAACTTCCCTGAACAGGGCTGCCTTAAGATGTCTTCTAAATGTCAGGTAGTTGTTTATTTCTTTGACATCTGACAGGAGGGTGTTCCACAGGGCGGGCGCCACTACCGAGAAGGCCCTCTGCCTGGTTCCCTGTAGCTTTGCTTCTCGCAATGAGGGAACCGCCAGAAGGCCCTCGGCGCTGGACCTCAGCGTCCGGGCAGAACGATGGGGGTGGAGACGCTCCTTCAGGTATACTGGGCCGAGGCCGTTTAGGGCTTTAAAGGTCAACACCAGCACTTTGAATTGTGCTCGGAAACGTACTGGGAGCCAATGTAGGTCTTTCAAGACCGGTGTTATGTGGTCTCGGCGGCCGAGTCACCAGTCTAGCTGCCGCATTCTGGATTAGTTGTAGTTTCCGAGTCACCTTCAAAGGTAGCCCCACGTAGAGCACATTGCAGTAGTCCAAGTGGGAGATAACTAGAGCATGCACCACTCTGGCGAGACAGTCCGCAGGCAGGTAGGGTCTCAGCCTGCGTACCAGGTGGAGTTGGTAGACAGCTGCCCTGGATACAGAATTGACCTGCGCCTCCATGGACAGCTGTGAGTCCAAAATGACTCCCAGGCTGCGTACCTGGTCCTTCAGGGGCACAGTTACCCTATTCAGGACCAGGGAGTCCTCCACACCAGCCCGCCCCCTGTCCCCCAAAAACAATACTTCTGTCTTGTCAGGATTCAACTTCAATCCATTAGCCGCCATCCATCCTCCAACCGCCTCCAGGCACTCACACAAGACCTTCACCGCCTTCACTGGTTCTGATTTGAAAGAGAGGTAGAGTTGGGTATCATCTGCATATTGATGGACACCCAGTCCAAATCCCCTGATGATCTCTCCCAGCGGCTTCATATAGATGTTAAAAAGCATGGGGGAGAGGACGGAACCCTGAGGCGCCCCACAAGTGAGGGCCCAGGGGTCTGAACACTCATCCCCCCCCACCACTTTCTGAACACGGCCCAGGAGGAAGGAGCGAAACCACTGTATAACAGTGCCCCCAGCTCCCAGCCCCTCTAGACGGTCCAGAAGGATGTTATGGTCGATTGTATCAAAGGCCGCTGAGAGATCCAGCAGAACCAGGAAACAACTCTCACCTTTGTCCCTAGCTCGCCGGAGATCATCAACCAGTGCGACCAAGGCAGTTTCAGTCCCATGGTGAGGCCTGAATCCCAATTGGAAGGGATCCAAATGGTCCGCATCCTCCAGGTGTGCCTGGAGTTGTTCAGCAACCACGCGCTCAATCACCTTGCCCAAGAATGGAAGATTTGAGACTGGGCGATAGTTGGCCATACTGGCTGGGTCTAAAGATGGTTTTTTTAAGAAGCGGTTTAATGACCGCCTCTTTCAGCGGATCTGGGAATGTTCCCTCACAGAGGGAAGCATTCACCACCCCGCAGAGCCCATCGCCCAGCCCTTCCCGGCTTGCTTTTATTAGCCAGGATGGGCAAGGATCAAGGAGACAGGTGGTTGGTTTCACGCGTCCAAGCAGCCTGTCCACATCCTCGGGGTAACGGATTGAAATTGATTCCATGCAACTTGACCAGACAGAGCTCTAGCACTCTCCCGCCCCGGCCCTGCTCCCACGGTGGTGTCTAGCTCCTTCCAAATATGAGTGATTTTATCTGCAAAAAACTTTGCAAAATTGTTGCAGGAGATCTTGGGGTCTTTACAAGGCCCCGGTGGTAAAGGTGGTTCCGTTAAATTGCGAACCACCTGAAAGAGTCTCCTGCTACTATTTTCTGCAGATGCAATAGAGGCGGTGAAGAAAGTCTTCTTTGCCGTCGCTATCGCCACTTGGTAGGCTCGACGTTGAGCTCTAACCTGTGTCCGGTCAGATTCGGAGTGAGTTTGGGAGCTGGGGGCACTGTTGTACAAAAAGTCATAATAAAAACGCAACTTTAAAATGGAACAACTGATACTGATATCAAATAAAGTAATTTTCAAAAAATCTATTAGAATATAATAGGAAACAATAAAATTTAAGTCTCAAAACATCAGTAAATAATAATTAAGCAGAAATTCACTCTTAACAGTTACAATAAATAATGACTAAACTATGATCAATAAAAACAACTGCAAGTCACAATGCGTAACATACCACAATACAAACAAAACCATGTAAAAGGGTCAAATTGAGAAACAATTTGGTTGTTTCCTTCCTGCAGAGGGGAAGGAGTGTCAAAGCAGTCTCCCCCCAGTGGCAACACTGCTGGCCATTGAAACAGCATGGCCACTGCATTTGGCTCCTCCCCCAGCTCCTCCCAGCGTTCTGATGTCTGCCCCCAATCACCCTCACAAACTGGCCCCTCTGCTGTACTGTGAATTGAGCCTTGTTTTCTCCAGAAGTTTGCCCTTGGCTCAGAATATAATACGTTATTCTGACAAGGTTGCTTTGAAGGAAAACGTACATCAAGGTCTGTTACGTTAACCTCTTAACTCCCAGTGAAATGTCTGTTGATTGCAATGAAGTATGTGGCCCGAACACCTAACCCTTCTCTCTTTTACTTGGTGAATAATTGCTCTGTTCGGGCCAATTATCTCCATTTGTTTCTTGAAAACCTTTTATATATTTCCACTCCCACTTCTAGATCTGGAACTTGCTCCTGGATTTGTTTGTTTTGAGGTGGCGAGGGTTTTAAATTTCTAGCTGGTTCTCAGCCATGGCTGACGCTGGGAATTACATTTTCCAGGAGACTATGTGATCATCCACTTACACATAGCACTGTCACCACACTGTCATTTCCCAGTGGGAGAGAATTCTCAGAAAGCAGACAACAGTTCCCCCCACAAAAAACCTTACTAATTACCAGGCCAATTCAGAATTGAGCTGAGCATTCACTCATTGCTATCTAGCTCATTCAACTCTTCATGATCATAATATCGATCTGAGGAACAGAATGTATAGAGTTTGGGGTGAGGGGTGGAGAGAAAGAATTGTGTCATGTTAAACCCTCTTCATTATGTAATCATTTTTTAAATTAAAAAATGGATAAGCAAAGACTGTATTCTTTGAAACCTCTGTAGTGATTGGCTAATATTATGATGAACATGAGCCCTCTCTGGCCATTGGCTGAACTGCTTGAGTGCTACGGAATGTTTGTGACCATTCCAAATGCTCAGAATTAAGTGGGGAGAGGGAACTGCCAGCAGACAGTGTCTCGGGACATATTGGTCTATGAAGTTAATGGGAAAGGATGCTGCAATAAGAGTAACATTTACATCGGCTACTATACCATGCCTGGCTGTGCATATATTCCTATTTTACTCTGCCATCCAGTGCTCTGCCATCCCACAGCTGGCGTTAGCCACAATCCATATCTTTTCATCCATATCTGTGACGTTAGCCACAATCTATATCCAGTCTGTCATTTCTTAAGAATTACAGTCGTACCTCGGAAGTCGACTTCCAAAACGTTCAGAAACCAAGGCACGGCTTCCAATTGGAACCCGTGGAACCTGCGTTGGACGTTCGGGTTCCAAAGAACATTCACAAACCGGAACACTCACTTCCAGGTTTGCGGTGTTCTGGAGCCAAAATGTTCGACTCGCAAGGCATTTGACCTCTAAGGTATGAGTGTCCTATATTTTAATGCATTTCACCCCAAAATCAGCTTCGAGCTGAATTGAGAAAAAAGGACAACCTAGCTGTATTTTAAGCTAGTAAGGTGTACACAGCTTGTGTTGTGAATATTGTCTGGGTTTGAGAGTAGTATGTGAATAGTATACCCTGTGAGAATTTTCTGTACACAAGTAGCATGAATGGGGTAAGTGTGTGTACGTGAATAAGACAGTATATGAGAGAGCGAAGAGGGTATGGGCAATGAAAAAGATTCTGCATACAGGAAAATTATGCATTAATTTTTGGAGCTATCTACTTCTGTATTCACATCTAAATGTTTTCTGCTCTTCCCCTACCTAGTATGCATTAAATCCCATTACCGAAATTAGATTATATGATTTACATTTTATTTGTTTAATGGATGAAAATGAAATAAAACCAGGAAGGGGATGTTAATAATTGCACAGGGAAAGCATTAAGCTGTAAATGTTTGCTTTTAAAAGCATTTTTGCTGAAACGACTTTTTTTTTTAAGGCACTGGAAAACTTTGCTTTAAAAAACCCTCAGGAAAAATAAAATAAAATGTATTTTATAGATGATGGGAAAGGCACACGTATGAATTCTGCAGTTCTAAGGACCTGTCCATATATCTTGGGGTTTCCAATGCAATTTTCTTGTGTGCACCAAGGACAGAGGCCTGGCTGCCGTGTAGCAGAATGAGGCCAAATTTGGATGGGACCATGGCGGGGGGTGAAGGCAATAGATGGAGGTAGTAATTCATGTCTGGATGGTGCAGTAAGGACATTTTGGCTCCACTGGTTTGTTTGCATAGAGCTAACCTCCCCGCCAGCTCTCCTCCCGGAAGGCAGCAACAGCTGGGAGGTCAGGTAATGGCTGCCACCTCATCCCATCTTCTGCTAATCCAAATTACATGGGCAAAACATGGAGTTTGCAATCTCCTTTTGCCATCTAAGTTTGACGCTGGCGTCAAGAATGGAAAGGCAAATGTCTTCAGAAGAAAAAAAAAACATGGAACGGAAAAAGGCAAAGCTAAGCAGGGCTGGACATGAGAAACTGCAATTCCACAAAGCCGCTGAATTTCACATACTGATTAGAAACTGAATCTTTTTCTCCAGGCCTTCAGTTTTAAATTATCCAAACACAAGTCTGTCTTGGCGCCTTGTACAAAGAGTTGATCCAAGCATGAGAAATGTGTTTGTTTTTTAAATGGAATTATTATGATGCTGAAGGATTACATTATGGGACAGGACAACAGGAACATGTTATTAGAGCACCACATGAGCTAACTGAATTTCAGCCCATTGGGTCGCCGTTTCTCTTTTTCAAGACAAATGGTTCTGTAAGCTCCATTGTACTGTACATAATGTACAGCAATGTTTGATTCCAAAATTGCCACTAAACTACCACCTGCTGTCACAGCAGAAACAACCCTTTGCAGAGCCAAGGTAATTCCTAAATATGTCTCCTGGAAGCCAGAATTGAATCTGAGCATGTAATGTACAAAGCTCACTCAGCCAGTCTATGGGGAAGGAATCATCAACAAACAATACATCTACAGCAAACCAACCACTTGAAGAATACAAAACAGAATAACGGGGAGCCAGTATACTGAGAGGGAAGAATTTAGAAGGGTGGTTTTAACATTATAAAACCAGAGTTTTCCATCTTTGTCCTCCATCACCTAAGAAAGGACAATAGTATCTGGTTTATATGGGCTGGGCTGGGCACTGGATTCAGCCAAATCTTCAACCAAATGGGCTGATTTGAAGAAATATGGGCTTCGTGCAAATGGGATGGAGATAGTCAGGGCTTTTTTTCAGCCTGAGCTCACCAGAGCTCAGCCCCGGCACCTCTCAAGTGGGCGCCATTGCCATTACCAGAGAACAAGGGAGAAGTTCATGGCGAGTTCCAGCACCTCTTTTTCTAGAAATATGGCACCGGAGATAGTCCTGGATTGGCATGGTTTGGGTTGGGCTGCCCATAGCAGGAAGAAGGAGAAGCAATGGAAAGATCTAGTTGAGTAGGAGGGACCAGCCAGACTGGCTGCATCTTCCTGGGGGAAAGTGGAGTTGAGTGGCGGATGCCTTCAGATGTTGCAGGTGAAGTTTTTCCTAGTATTTTCCTGTTACTTGTCTTGTCTACCAAGCGCTTGCCAGAGGCACTGTGGCCACATCAGAAAATATTAATTAGGGATTTATAAACCTTTACGGAACTGCATTTCTACAGCACCTCACTTGGTGGGACCACGACTGCTGCACAGACTTCAAAACTAGGTTTCTTTAAAGACGTGCAGGCCCACCCTGAAGAAAGCAGGTCCACAGAACCAGGCTGTCAGCAGAAGAGGACTAGATGACCACCAGAAACAGAAAACACAAGGAAGGTGGTAGTGGGAGGATTCCCTTG